ACTAGAGTATCTGATGCCGAGATCTACGACTGAGTCGAACCTGGCTAGTTTTCCCCCATTTACTTCAAGAGTTAGATCAAGGTTACTGTTGCCTATGCAAATCTAGCCGCATTTTTCAAGACTAAACTTTAGAAAGGATTTAGCACACCATGTTGCGAAACCACTTAGTTGAAGATATATTTCATTTACCGTATCGTTTAATTCATAAGTGTAGCAGGAGTAGACGACTTTGAGGTCGTCAGCATATAGGAATGGTTTACCTGAGGTGAAGCACTTGCAAACGCCATTAATATAGACTGTAAATAAAAGTGGCCCTAGGACACTACCCTGCACAACCCCACTTGAGATCTGCCTAGGATGAGACAATACAGATCCGACTTTGTTTATTTGCACCCCGTTGCTTAGAAACGATTTTAACCAGTTCATTAACGGATTGAGAATTTCACGTGAGTACAACTTCTCAAAGAGAATACTGTGAGATACCATGTCAAACTCCCCAGATATATCGAAGTAGAGGACGAGGGCTAGCTTATGTGCTTCGCGACCACATCTGATGCAGTTGAAAAAGTCGAAGTTACAAGTAACGCAGGACCTATTTTTGAGAAATCCGTGTTGGGACCTTGTAACAAGATCTTCTCCAAGTAGATAAGCTGACAATTGACCTTTGACAAATTTCTCCATGATTCTCGAGACAACTGGAGTTATGTGTATGGGTCTCTAATTGCGAACGTTTACCTTATCACCGGATTTGTAGTGTGGAATTATGAAGCTAGTTATCCACTCATTAGGCAAGTGCCAGTGTCCATAGATATAGAGAATAATCTAAGAAGTGATAGGGGTATATCACAGTCACTGGTTTTGAAAATTATTGAAGCAAGTCCGTACGGTCGCGTGCTAGTAGAAGGTCGAAGGCTTTTAACTGTTAGTTCTATTGATAGATTGGTGAACACTATGCTCCTGAGGAGAGAACTAGTAACGGGTGTGGTTTCGACGGGCATGCGCGTTTCTAAACCGAATTTCGCAAACCACTCACTAAAAGGTTAAAAAATGGTGTCAGGCTCATTGTAGGTTACTTTGTCGTGAAGTAAGTAGGGGATTTCCCTCGCCGAATTCATTCGTTTTTAAAGATGTGTTGTAAGTTTATAAACTTTGGGGGTACTTTCAAGTGCACTTAACTCTTCGTCGAAATCCTTTCAAGAGCGTAGTCGCTTGATAGATTCAAGAGACTCGTGGGTTGAGTGCAGTAGTGACATATCCTTAGTGGAACAGTACTGTTTCATCAACTTCCTTAATTCATTGCGGTATACCCTTGGAATGTATTCAGCTTGGTGTCTATTTAATTTCACTATTTTCTTAGGTGAAACAGTATCTAGACAAAGAGTAACATTCATGTGAAATTGGGACACTACAGCCTCCAGGCTGTAAGTGGTAAAATATTCGCCCCACTGACACAGTCAAGCGAGTTCATGAACTAATCCCCAGTCTGTATGTTTGTAAATACGACATATCATGCTCCCTGAATCCTGTTTGTTTCCTGTATTTAGTGGTGACAAAGGCAGAGAGCAGAGCACCATTCTATGGTCACTACTAGAAAATCTGTTACCAACATAGATGGAGACTGGGATTGTATCGTGACAAAACACAAGGTCCAACATCACGGGTAGGTGTCTGGACGTGTTGTTGCCATCCATAACAGAAGATAATGGTGAGTAGTTCGTCTAAGTGATGGGGGCCGGACCCATTCAACCAATTGACTTCTGGAAGATTGAAGTCCCCTGCAATTATTTTGTAGTTAATACTAAATAAGGAGGCGTGTGAAAACGATTTAGCTAATAACGAATCAGTTCCTTTGGTTGAGCATGGTGCGCGATAAAGACGGCCTATGAGAAGTTTGTACCTATCCCCATGTAAGACGACTCAGAGTGAGTCAGGTACATTATTCATTATTTCATCTTCCACCCTGCTGACTACGAATGAGTTATGTACATATATGAGACATCCTCTACCATGCTTGCAATCTCTATTTGCACGATGAACAGTGTAATCATCTATACATACATGCACATCAAGTACAGAGGATGAGCACCATGACTCAGTAATCAGAGCTACAGTAGGCTTGGCGATTAATAATAATGTCCTTAGTTCAGATATCTTATTGATTAAGGAACGTGCATTAATTAGCAACATCGTGAACAAGTCACGGGATACTACAAACTGACTTAAAATATCACCGTAACCGAATTCTGTTTGTGCGTCAGCTCCGAAGAGTTTATGGATGATAAGGGGGTCGAACTGAGTTTCTGTACATCGAGGTTAGAGTTCAGTGAGGTGGTCCTAGGTGCCGTGGGTCGTACCAGTGATTCGGGACACCTGGAAAATTTACCATGTGTTTCTGGATATAAGAGTAGTAGAGGTTGTACCTGGGTTGTCGGTTAAAAAGCATAGTACCAAAGGGTCTATCAGTCAAACTGCTTTTTTACAACTTAAAGGAAATTGTGATAGAAAAGGTTTTGGATGCGAGACGTTGGGGGTTTTGGAACCTGACTTTCTACAAGGTGGAGAATTCTGAAAACCTCCAGACATACTTGTGTTTCGAGACGATTTTTCGTAACAAGTGAGGGTTTGTTGACACGCTTACTCTCAACAGGCTCATTGAATACAGATTATTCTTCCCCATCATTAGTCTCAATCCCGCGAAATTTGTTCTTCGTGGTGAGGTTACCACGTCTGGGTAAAAATTTCTTAAAAACGACTTACAGCAGTACTAGCTATTTCAATACCATCTAGTGAGGCTTTGTTTACAGGGATGCTTGCAGAAGTTCTAGATTTTTTAACATCTTTCGATGAGACTTTATTCACAGGCGTACTGGTATCTAAATCAGTTCCTAGCTCCATTGGCAAGCGTGGGTGTTGTGTGGTTTGCTGAATGCTACTGTCAGTGCTAGGTGGCTGTTTCGGTAAATTTAAGCCGGAGGAGGTGACCAGATTATTACTACGCATTATTCTGCGCTGACAAAGTGTTTTATCCTGAACTATGGTTATAGTCTTATAACTGCTATTCAGTCTTAAGTGATCCTGACATTTAGCAAGCTTACAAGCATCAAGTGAATTACTGAATTTAAAATTGATGGGAAAATCAGCCTGGTTAGACTTTTTACAACTATGAGGGCTTAGATTTTTATCTTGAAAAAGATAATAATGAACGCCTTGACAGATCATGCTTCTACCTTTAAATATATACCATTCGCTCAGCCTATTGTTGAGACGCGACCACGCGGGATCTGCACAGATTTATGGGGCATCTTATAAACTAACTTGCTGTCCATTGTCGGATCTTTAAATACCACTTCACAATGTCTTATCAGATTCATTTTCTAATAACGTCTTTACTTAATCCTCATTATATTCCATTAAACCTAACATTTTATAGCTCTTTATGAGTTTGATTTGACTTATTCTATTCGTATTCTCTGTGAGGTACGGTTGTGCACCAAATGCACAAAAAAGCATAAAATCAAAAAACCGACATAAGGAAAAAATGTATTAAAACCAAAAGTGGACATCATGATAGTACGAGATATACGCGTAGCATTATACATTGCAAATGAACGTTGTCAGCCTAGGGAGTTTTCTTTATTAATGCATTTATTAATGACACTTGCACTTACCTATTTCATTAAAATTTAATGATTCACCTCAGCACTTTTACTTTTCTAAAAACAGCTTTCAATCCCTTGTAAACGTTGTACTTACCTCAATATTGGTTGGTTATCGTATGCCGACAACCACGGGATGAAAACGAAACGAAGTCAGTTTTCCCGCTCAACCTGGAGGACAATTGTACAATTCAATAACTATACAGCCTAGTTCAGACAATGTGTATTTATATATATATATCAAATATTTAACTGTTGAAACATTATTAACTTGTAGACAATCTACGATTTGATATTATATCATACTTGATCGTGCCTGTAAAAGTGGCATGCATTTTCATGTAAATTTATATGTTTATATGAGAATATACATTATTATTATTATGGATTCCATTGGCACTTAACAACTAAAACTCCACACAAGTGTTCAATAGAATGAATTCGAATACTTATATCTTCAGGTTCCTGAACTAGAAATATATACGGGATCTCAGCTGATCGGAGATTCTGCGGCTGCCCACCAAGCTGCAGAGAAGTCATTCAGGCGCCGGTCTTGGAAATGTATGCTAAGCATACTTGATATGTCAGACAATTATTCCACGAAATATATTTAGGCATCTATGTGTATAAGCCACGCATTCATACATAAAAAACAAAGGCGAACGAGAATTCTTAAAAAAACTGAAAGAAAGCCAAATAGACATTAAAATCACTTCACGTACAGCTCCATAGATCAAGCAGAGCAACCTGACTCGAATAAATCAAAACGCGTAAATACCCATCAGACAAAAATAGTTGGCACCACTTCAGACCGGGACTTGTCATGAAATCGCCCTCAAACACTACTCTCTTTTACTAGGTCTCAGATAAACTCTACCTTGGCCCATGACCACTTCCTCTCACTTTGCTGTTCTGATCACCCCGGCTGGTCATTCATTTACAATCTATTAATTATTATGAACATTTTCTATTGCTTAATTCGTTTTTCCTCCATACATTAAACATTTTCCACTAATAACGTTATGCTTATAGTCTCCCTTTTTCAACCTCATCAACGAATGGTGAGTAAAAAGAATAACTCCAGTCACGTCAGCAGAATAGTCTTAACACACTATGTTTAAACAATCTCCCATACCGCTCCCACCAGAGTGTCGGAGAGCTATCGCAAAGGAGTGAAGGAGCTAACCACATAAAAGCTCTGCCGTGGGAACTTCACATTTTTAGCATAACATAGAGGCCTGTCCAAAGTAATCAGTTAGGTGCGCACTAGCTAATTAATGGGAGATTGGACATTGTACTGTAGCAACTTTTCAAGGTTACAAAATTGCGATACACAATTTCGGGATGTTGGTTGCAAATCCTTGTCGGCTGCTATCTTCACGCCTCATATCTGGCAGTTTATGGCCAGTATGTTGTTCTTTCTCTCAAAATCACGTTTTGAGAACCACAAAACTTGGAACTGGTAAGGTTACAACAAAGGATTATATCAACCCAAGCTTGCTATAATACTGAATAAATCTCGCTAATTCTGAAATAATTCTATGATGAGTAAATGTTAAATTTGTTCTGTAAAGAGTTGTGTAAGCACACAGACTAGAAACCAGTGCTGGTTTTCATCATGACTGGCACTAATTCAGGACCCTATGGTGTCGTTTTTGTAGGCATTTTTAGGGATAGATTAGAACCTACCGGGCTTGCCTAACATCGTTGTTCCAGCCCTCACAACACATATTTAGCATTGAATAGCATTGTTTCAGAACCAAAAGACTTAATTCGGCACACAGTGGCAATTTTCTCAGCCTAATATCAGCCCTCTCAGCAAATATTCATCATTGATGAGCATTATTTCAGACGCTGATATTATTTTTAAGATTTTGTCGCATTAATTAAATATCCAGCGCTCGTTTTAAGCACAACCAGCGTTATTTCAGTACACAGTGGGTAGATAAAATAGTAGCTTACCACAAAAGGCATTATCGACGCAGAGGTTAGAATAAGTTAGGAATTATTGTAAGCTCGGGGAATGTGTTAATATAAATGCATTGCCGGTCCAAACTTATGATGATTCTAAACTAATTTTAACTTGTGCGTCGATAATGCCTTTTTATGGCAAATGAATATTTGTCTGCCTAAAACGAACTCAATATGTGCTGAAATAACGCTAGTCGTTCTCAAGAAGAGTACTGAACGCTTAATTAATGCAACGACACCTAAAAATAGGATTTGCAGCTGAAATAATGCATTAAGTGGTGAAATAAAACTGAAAGAATCGCCACTATGTGCTGAATTAATTCTTTTTTATAAACAATAACAGTTAGTGCCGAATATGGGCTGAGAGGACTGACACAACGCTGATTAACAAATCCAGTTGGTTCTGAGCTACCGCGCGGGGTGCTGGATTAGTGCCAGTCATGTTGAAAACCAGCACCCAGCTCTAGTTCGTGCACATAAACTATTTCTAGATACACACGATAGACTGTTAGAGTTAGTTCAGAATTAGCGAGATTTAATTCAGAATTGTAGTAATCTTGGGTGTTTATTGAATAACTCGATCCGCATATTCTCCATCGCAAATTTCTGACGTGGAGACGTTTCATTCACATACCAATGTCGAGTAGACTTTGTTGCACTCTACCGAGGTATCATGGACTTCATGCGCATTCCAGAAACTCCAGTACACACTTTGAGCACATTGCAGAAAGTGCCCCGTACCGTCCCACTTTTATGGCAGTGAACCTGACGATTTTGTCTCTAAAACAACTTCACCTGGACTAGCCTTATGTGGCTAACTTATAAGTAGCATCTCAAGTGTCAGCCACTGCTTCACTTTACATATACTTACCTGGAACTTTCCTTTTTCATTACTAGCATTATGTTTCAATGTAATTGCAAGATTTTTATTTGCATTTCTTCTAATTGTGGCAAGCTGAATATGTACATTTTTATGCGACTGGATAAAAAAATGTAGTACTTCGGAGTACTACATTATTAAGTTAAACACCAAACCGACTACCTAACAACTTACCATTAATGCTTTAAGGGACTCAGTTGTAAATTCATGTCGCCTTTGTATACTGCTGTCCTCAGTTTCAAATACGTAATGAGTAGCTGTCGCGCAATATTTCACATAATCGGCAACTGTATTTTGTGTGGTAAGCCCTATGTATTTCCATTCTTTCCACTTGTCTTCGTTCTACTATCGACCCATTTATTAATTTCTGTGTCATATTGCGTTTAGAAAATAAAGTAGCACTTCTTTCCCTATTTTCAACGGTAATGTCACATGTTATGAGCACTAAATAGTAGCATTCCTCATTTATGTGTGACTTTTCTTGTACGACGGTCAGTCAGTCTCTCAAGTATGTTTGATGGCCAACGGTGCTTCTTATTGTTGAATTCAGTCTATATAACTTATTTAAGAACAGGATGCAATCACTAACACGTGTGTAGATATGGTAACAGTCCACATAATTAGACGAAAGATGATTAGAAAGCTGGTCGTTAAAATGCTTTAAATTTTACTTCTGACAACTAGTTCCAAACCTCTGAGTATAAGTCGTGGCTGTTCGAAGAAAAAAGATGAGATTGGTTAGTGTCCAGAAGTGATATTTCAGACTCACGTTTCGTCCAATTTGACTCTTAGTTGAATTTATGTCCATCAAATGGATATTACTAAGTTTTAGAAATAACACTACTAGTCTGACACAATGGTTGTCGTTTCGGCTATTTGGTCGGTATTGTTTCTGTTGTGTGTTACTCCTTACTTCACATTTTTGGCATTATAATTTTTGGTTTGCAAATAACATTGTAGTGTAGGTAGGTTTACGGCAAATACCGCTTAGATGAGCATTATGTTTATTTGATTAAGTTTATGCTAAAAAATGTTTATGTATAAGTCAACTTCGGAGAGACTACGGTATACGATTTAAACAAACCTTAGTATCTCAATCCTTATCACTGAGAAATGTAGCATAGTTTATCGTGGTTTAGTGAGATTTATTTTTAAAAGCTGTTGAATGAATGCTACATACTGTGGCTTGATTGCTCATTGTCGTCACCATATGCATACTCCTGAATTATGTAGCTCCTGCTGTACAAAGAACTGGTTTGTTACCATCAGTTCACTGGACAATTGAACGTGTTTTGGCTGCCGGTATGTTGCCGTTGTATCCAATCGCGATTTACATGGATACTCCAATGATGAATTTTATTGTGGTTACTGCTGTTTCTATTCATTCGTACTGGTAAGTTCCTTCGTCTTGTCTAACGTTTCTCTACAAACAGTTTTCAGTGACCGTTTAGGATACTATTCGATTGCATGTTTTTTGTATGTTTATTCACTTCTCGCCATCCCTTGGGGATGAGTTTTCAGAATTGTATTTTTAATGGGGCAAAAACTGAGTATCAATGTTTAATTAACAGTGTATCCTGGAAATTTCCTGTTTATTTGTAGGATTGAGGGACTTTTATAGAGTAATTTTAAATCCTTTTAGGATTTCAGTATTACAAGCAACTTATAACTACTTGCGGCTGTAAACAAGTAACTTTCTTTGTGTTTGTAACATCTTGTGGAATCAGTTGTCTCAACTCACCTCATGTTTTTTTAAATATCATGAAATGCTACGTTTACGAAACCGGAGTTATTAGAATAGTTAAATCGTAATTTCAGCATATATTGTTAGACTCCAGTGATGGCAGTTATCACTTCCTGATTTAACTACTTCACTTCGAATTACTCACTTAATTTGGTTATCATATCATATAAGACAGACGGATCACTTAAAAACCTGGGACAATATGCACCACTTCATTTGGCACTTCACAAGCAGCACATAAAAAAGTTACGAAATTACTAGGGGTTAGCGGAATGCCTAGTGTTCTTAAGCACCTTCGGTTTGGTCTCTGTACCTTAAAATTAGTGATCACTCTTGTATGACCCAGCAGCATAATAGTAATATTTATGAGCTTCACTTTCTAAGTCTAATTCATTGTGACATATTTAAGACGTCGTACTCACGCAATATTTTTGTTTAACACTATTACTATTATCAACTTTCCACTTAATGTTTCACCCCTCACTTCTTATAACATTGCATCGGCGATTGGCAACACCAGACAACTATTTAGTTCTAATAGGGAAACAGGTGGCAAAAGGCAAATGATAAGTGAAACAATCTCGGAGAAAAATGGCACCATAATTAGCTCCCAGGATAGACGAATGGAACGCTGCAAAGCACACTGAAGAGCAGTTTAATTGACCTACAGCCACGCTTAGCCTGCCGAACATCCAACACCTCCCTGAATGAGTTATAGACACAGGTCTTTCTTCCTTAACTGAGGTTACTAAAGCTGTCACTAATCTGAAACAAGGCAAAGGAGTGGGGCCTGATGGAATGACTCCAGAGGTATTTAAGTACGGTGGAGAGAGATATTGCCTGCGTCAACTAAGGTAATAGACAACGTCTGGGAATCAGAGGGAGTCCCGTCGGGTTGATGTAAGTCATTGATTATCCCGATATACAAGAAGGGAGACAAGTCTTCCTGTGATGATGATCACAGGGGGATTAGCTTGATTAATATGGTATCTAATGTTCTAGTCTCAATAATCATGCGTAGACTAAGCGGTCCAGAGGAGGAACAAACGTGACAGAACCAGGCAGGCTTTAGACCAGAAAGAGAATGTATTGATCATATCTTCACCCTCTGACAGATTCCAGAACACAAGCATTCCTACCGGCGTCCAACAATCGTTATATTTTTTGACCTAAAGGCCAATTGGAACGTGGCAACTCGAACTGCTGCACTTCGGTGCCAAGTTCTATGTTGAATCCAGACAGACAGACAGACCTAAAGGCGGCATTCCATCCTGTCGACCGAGAGGTTCTCTGGAGATGCTTGGCTGTAAAGGGAATGCCGCGGAAATACATTTCACTGATTAAGGCACTCTACTTGTACTCATGCAGCAAGGTGAGGGCTTACGGCGAGTTGTCATCTGAACTGGTGACGACTAGTGGTGTCCGTCAAGGATGCCCATTATCCCCATTTCTATTCAACTTCATCATAGATGTGTTAATGGACTTAACCCTAGGTGACTTCAGTGACTCAGGAATTGACTTGCTACCGGGGAATAATCTCGTTGACTTAGAATATACAGACGATATAGTCCTTCTAGGCGAGGACGCTGACAAAATGCAGAGTCTTCTGAACACCTTGAGCTGCAATCTACGAATGTTTGGCATGCGATTCGCTCCCGCCAAGTGCAAGATGATGTTACAGGACTGGACTACACCGACTCCTAGTTTAGAAATAGGGAGTGAAGTGGTAGAGCACGTTGTCCGCTTCACTTATTTGGGAAGTACCATCAGCCAGCGCCAAAGAGTGGATCTCTGACGAAATCTCAGCACGGATACAGGGGGGTCGTTTCGCATTTGCCAGTTTACGCCGTCTCTGGCGTAGACGAGATATTCGACTATTGACCAAAGGGCGGGTGTACTGCTCATCAGTCCGCTCCGTCCTCATTTATGGCTAGCTGTGAGACTTGGCCATTGAGAGTGGAAGACATGAAAAGATTAGCTGTCTTTGATCATAGGTGCCTGCGTTCTATTTCCCGTGGGAAGTGGCATAATAAGGTGAGCAATATTGAGGTTAGGCGTCGAGTGCTATGTAAGCAGGGGAAATCAATCGACGAGGCTGTGAAATTACATCGACTGAGATGATTAGGACATGTGTTACGTATGCCTAGTCATCGCCTTCCTCGACAGGCAATGTTAGCTGATGTAGGTTCAGGCTGGAAAAGAGCTAGTGGAGGTCAAACAAAAACATGCCACCAGTCAATGAAATCTACAACACCTGGTCTAAGCCACGTTGGAAGGTGTAGAATTCCTGGTTGGGGTCCTCGGGACGGTAAAAACCAATGGTTGGAAACAATTGGTGACATGGCTCAAAATCGTTCTCAATGGCCGGTGCAGATGCATCCACTCCTTGTGACTTATGACTTCCAATGAAATTGTATTGTTCTTCGTTATTACTATTCCTTTGTCTCACACCTCTGTTTACTGTCTCTAGTATGCATTTCTTCTACTTTCTTCTCTTTGTTTTGTGTGCTACATGAAGTGTGGCGACTTGAACTGCCGCATATCGGTGCAAAGTTCTATGTCGAAAACAACCAGCCATCCAGGATAGTTATCTCTTTTGATGTTGTATATATATATATATATATATATATATATATATATATATATATATATATATATATATATATAATGCTTCGAAGTCCACTTTCATATTAGGCTTAAAAATACGTAATCTTTTTTCTAGGTATCTGTGGAGATTAGTTATAAACTAAAATGGGTTTTGATGGACCACTACTGATATTTTTACGTCATGTTCTTTTACCATGTAGCTACTTACTTTTAAAAACCTCGTTATTTCGAATGTCTATCTCGATGAATGCATTTCAAGTAGTCCTATAACTTGATTAGTCATATACGTTAACACTTGTAGTGTTTAGCTTAATGATTTTCATCATAGCAACTGAAGATGTACAAGGTGGAAAATGACTATGGATTTGATCCGCCTAGAGGTACGCCTGAAACTATTTAAAGTGATTTCAAGGGAAGAAATTATTTCTGAATCGTGTGAAAGAGTGTAGCTTATCCATCCAACAAAAACCCTTTTGGTGGAAGACTGTGTGGCGTAACATAAAATTAATTACTGCTTTACAGATGCACTCACGTTTCACTTTAATTACAATATCACATTTCTCTACTTGTTTAACCTTTCGTTCTGTTGTATGACCTTTGATTAAATAATCTTTCGCACTACCGTTAATACTTACCTATTAGATATTCAAACACAACGTGTAACAACGTGAACCACCATTTAGTATTTCCAGAGCGTATGTTGATAAAACTAGTGTCTACCTCTTCGTCTTATTCAATTCTTGATTAAGGTTGCTCATAAACTGGATTATAAGCGGTCCATGAACTCTGTTTATCAAACTGTTGGTGATTTCGCACTGCGAAGATGTACACACTAAAGTGTTTATTAAGCACTAGTTGATCCAAGTTTTCATTTTTGCCTTGTGGGCAATTACTTATAAACACGAGATCTAAATGTAAGAAATCCTGCTGATTACCTCCACATACTAATATTGTTATTGCTTTCAATCCTCATTTAGGAATTCGCATTATCTAGTCATGTTTTTTCCTCTGGTTATCAAATGAATTAAAGAAATCTACGTCATTTAGGTGAATGAGACATCTTACTCTCTCTAGCCAATGTTGACTACTTGACATTTTTTCTTCTTATTCATTCAGGGGTTTTGATGGTGTGATCAAGGATTATGCATTCGAACGCCGCTATGGTCCAGCACTAATGCCTATATTGCGTACCTTGTGGAAAATAATGTGTGGCTTCGGTTTTGGTGGTCTACTGTACTTCAACTTCAACGACGTAGGATTCATTTCAGCTGTGAAAAAACTATGGGCTTTATAAAGACTTTTTTTTGTCTTATCACTCTAATTTTTATTGATCTCCTCGAAATGACTTGTAATATTTGGATATTATGTGAATCCTTACTGTTGCTTATCAGCGTTTGTTTTTTTTAAATTAGTTTAATTTTTCGCTGTATAATGTTTTCGAATACCCCAAACTAGAAACTAAATTCACAGTAAATTTGTGTCGCTTTGAGAAAATGTTTCTTTGCTTTGTGTAAATGGCTACTAAACGCGGGTTAAATTTTATAACATATCTATATTTTCAGTTAGCTTAATTCCCACTGGCATCTACATTCTCGTGCTTCGTAGTTCAGTGGAAGTAAGATCAAAAGAATCGATACTGAACAAAGAGTACTCTTTTCGATAACTTCATAATCAGGCTCTACAGTTTTGTGTACATTATAGTGAATGAATTAGTGTTATCAACAACATTGATAATATTGATAGATTACAGCTCAAAAGCATCAACATCAGCTGAATGTCAGAAAAATTAGGAAAGATAATATTACAAATTCATAAATTTCTAGTCTCTACTGAAGGCCAAGGCAATAGTAGGGGCTGGACTTGCTTCTTTTGCACACAGAGCACTGGTTGTTTGAGGCGAATCGCAATAGCCCCCGTTGTTTGGAGCATGCGGTGCTTCGATGTTTTTGGCAATTTATTAGAGGCACCCGTTAGATGAAAGAGAATGATTCTTCAACTCTGGCCTTGTGACCGGTTTGTACCAGATGTTCCAATATCGAACTGTTAATGGTTTTCACTACACCTTTACTTAAACATAGTGGGAGATGTTCTCGAGCACGAAAAATCAAGTTCCTAGAGCAGCGGCCAATATAACTCGCTCCACAAGCGCAGTTGAATCGATAGATACAATTTGAAGTGGCTAGTCTAGGTACTTCGTCTTTCAGTCTAGGAATCACCATCGGTTGTGTAGAGAATAAGACATGTAGTTCGCCGGCATTAAGAGTTTTTTGAACTGACTTTCCAAATTTCTTCATAATTATTCCACTTGGTATGTTTTCCTTGAATTGCAGTCGTACATCAAGAGGCTTCTTGTTTATGGACAGTGAGTAGTCCTTTTCCGCTTTCTTTGTCGTGTGTTTCTTGATAAATTTGTTGGGATAGCTATTTTCGATCAAAGTATCATATACAATGCTTAATTCATTTTCAGTTACTTCTTCTGAGCATATAGCTCTAACTCTGTGGCTGAGGGTCGTTACTAAATTTCATTTGTACTTGAGAGAAACTAAGCTGTGAAAATGTGTATATTGTCGCGTCCAAGTACTTTTTCTATGCAAGTTTCTTTCTATGCTACCATCTGGTTTTCTTGTAAGTAGGACATCGAGGAATGCAATTCTGTCTTGGGGTTCCTCTTCGCACGTGAATTTCATAGCCGAATGTACTTCATTGAATTCAGTAGTTTTTGTACTCCTATCCGAATAATTATCACAAAGAATGAAGGGATCATCCTTATACCGACAATAAAATGAGCGCTTTCTGATACGGTTGTTCAAAGGTCCATTTTCTAGCTTGCATAGAAAGAAATCAGCCAAAATTTGACCCAGTGAGAAGCCCATCGCAACTCCGTCTACTTGCCTGTAAAGCGTGCCGTCAAATTTGAAGTTTACATTCATGGTGCACCCTAATATCAATTCTTTTAGAATTTCAGTACGGATGCCAATTTATCGACTGGTTATCCACTTGTTCACATATGTAGTTAACTGTTCCTACTAGAGGTACATTTGTGAATAAATATGTTATGTCCAGAGATATCACGGTTTTGTCCTTGATATTAATATCTTTGATTTCGCCTACGAATTCAAATACATCTTTGATGCTATATTTCACTATCTTCTTATGCAAAGGTTTGAAAATATTTACTAGCCATCTAGCTGAAGCATGGTAGGGCGAATTTCGCATATCAAGTATTGGTCTTAACGGTACCCCCGGTTTGTGCATTTTAGGTAGGCCATGGAATCTTGGCGTATACGTGCCCCTTGATCTGATTTCTTCATATAAGCTTGCGATCTGTGGTCGGACAAGGTGCGCCGATACGTAGACTTGATGAACGTGCCTCACCCAAATACATTCTCCACCGATTCTGTTGGACGTTCCCTAGAAATGCACATAATTGGTTTGGATTATACGCATATCCCTTTGATTACAATTCTGAGTACTCTAAGAGCATGTATAACGCTGACAGTGAGTCACATGTCGATATAAATTGTATACCTACACTTCACCTAATCGGCGTCACCTCCAAGTCCTTCGTCTTCTACCGTTTCAGAAGAACAGATTCTCTTTAATGAAAATATTCAGGTGTTCATTTTTCTTGAAAGCAGTTAATACATTTTCCCCTCCCTTCTCCTCAGGAGTGCAATGTGTTTTAACCCTTTTGAATAGTATTTGTTCTCAGTTATTTTTGTGCGCCTATTGAATTACCGGTTTTTTAGTTGAGTATTTGGTCTGTATGGATCGATTCCCTGTATACCTGTGTTTCTAGAACTCTCGTTTTTGCTCTTTTGACTGAGAAATCAAACAATTTTGTTGTATGATTCCTTTTCACAGCTTACAAACTCAGAACAATTAGCAATAGGACTTACAAATAAAAAGGAACAGAAGTTTACGGTAAAAAAGGGCCTAGTGACAAATCAAATTAAGGTATTGTACGAAGGTTCGCAGTGTAACAACATAGATGGGGAAAATAACCAGACATAAAAGTGTCAAAATAAATAAGCTCCAATGCATTGAAAATTAAGTTTCCATTACATGAAGAAATAACAGCATATCTAGTATTGTAACAACAGAAGACAACGGCTAGGCAATAGATCGTTTATTAAGGAAATCAACACGTATTTATACATTTTCATGTACATATTATAGATTACTGTTAGCAGAAAAACAGTCTTCTGATTGGTTGTTTCTCACAGAAAGTTAACCTTGCATCTCTTTGTGGCTGTTTCTTGAATGTCAGATCATCTTTATGTTAACTGTACCCGCTTACGCAAAGCCTTTATTCTCACGACCAATATTGGCGACATAAACAGTGACGTAAATTACTGTCCACCAATTTTGACTAACAGCGAGCTCTCACCACAGTATATTCAGTTTTTGCCGCTTAAATTCTTCAATAACTAATTCCTAAAGGACTCGAGATTATTAGCTAGAAATTATTGTAACAGTAGAAGTCAAGACACAGAAGCTAAGTTATATTTTCAAATGATCAAACAGCTATTTATATTCTTTAACCAATCAGTGGATGTGTGATTTTGGTTTACATCAAACGGCATGAAACAGAATGTTCAAATATATATAGCATTCTGTTGCTGATGCAGTAGTGAACTGTGGGAAAAGTATTCAGACGTTAACACCAACAAATACAATAATTGTTACTGTGAGAATGATATTCCGTTGGAACCCACTGTCTGTATCACACCACCACAGTATAATCTACCTTAAAATGCTGATAATCTGACCCGTTTTCAAACCTCCCATTCTCTGTCTAGTAATCAATTAATAAGCAATCATTTTTTTTCTACACAGAATATATTGTTTACACGGTATTGGAATAACTATGTCTGAATCAACTGTAAGCAACATGAATTAAAACTGTTGAGCTTTCTACTGCAAATTAAAACAGGAAATCTTCATCAAAGTGTTCTCGGGCTTGTATGCAAATGACCAGAGATCCTTGTTCTAAAGCAAAAAAAAATAAATAACGGTTAAATAAGTATTTTTTTATTTCTGACTACGATCATAAAAACTTAAACTGATGGGAATTAAGTGACATCCGTTGCAACTTCAAATTAATATACAAAGAATTAGGGTTTTAACAAATAGTGAAATCGTACACAATCAAGTAGACTAAATCAGACATAAAAATAGAATCCTGGCAATCCAGTAAAGTGTCACTCCATAACAGAATAATTTTATTTGATTTAACCCACATTAATGCAGTGTTACTTATTTACTGAGGACGTTTCGAGTAAAAATATATTGTCCATAAACAGATCAAAGATTTAATAATTCCCATTGAAGCATTAAGAACACAATATTCAGCGAAGAGGAATTAAAGGATATAATAATAATGATAATAATAATTCAGCGAAAAGACTTCAACGAATTTATTATCAAGCTGTACAATCGTATATATATATGGTTTTTAAGAAATTATATCCAGTGAGAGAATTAGGTCAAAGGTGTGAATACATGAAATTATAATAGTAGTATGAAATGCGATTAAAATATCTGTGATTGTAATAATAGCTTAAAATCACACACACATCGATAAATGGAGTACTTAGTTCAGATTTCTTTTCTATGGCGAATTGTAAAGAAGGATGGCATTTGTTGAAAGCAAACAAGACATCAAGAATTACGTCATTATCGTAGATAGCGAAAGTATCGTCTGCGTATCTTTTATAAATGTCAAAATGACCCATGATTTGACTAAGTTGAGAATGTTTAAGCTTTGCCGTAAAAAAAATCAGCCAATAAGGGCCCCAGTGGTGATCCCATGGCAATGCCATCACTCTGTCTAAAAATCCTATTATTGAAGGTGAAGTGAACAATCGACGTGCATCTCAATGAAAGCTCTTTGAGGTGGATTGTCGGCAACCCTATTTCTAAACTGTGTGTATTAATATAATCACATGAATAGCAAACAGTTTCCATGAGAGGAACATTGGTAAATAGCGGCGTCACATCTAATGAGAACAAGACTTTGTCTGAGACATTAAAATCTTTAATGCTATCAATAAATTTAAACGTCTGTCTAAATCAGTCAGTAAGACGTTCTTTGCAGCAAAATTACATATGACCTTCACTAGCTGCAAGTTGTTCTCTACCTCTCTAAAATATAAGCTCCCCCGTCTGGTCGCCTACATGTGCATCTATCAGTTCACCTGCTCTTGTGTAGCAAGGTACACTGGCCGTAGTCAGAGGACGCTTTCCACACAGATACGGGAACATATTCCAGCATGGTTTTACAAGGGAGAAAGGAAGTGTGTGCGAAGCTCCATTCTGGAACACCTGATCGACTTCTGTCACTCGGTCAACCATGATTTCAAGATCATTCCTGCGTTTTATTCGTTACAGATTTCTTAAGACAGCTGAGGCCTTGGCAATTCATGACTTTAAGCCAGACCTTTGTGTACAGAAGAAGTATGTACAATCCCTACTTCAGTCTTGGCCGTAGAGGAATAGACATTTATTTATTTTCTTTATTCAGTTATTCTATGTACTTTTCCCTTATTACTACGATTATTATTATTATTATTATTACTACTATTCTCACTCTGAATGGTTTCACTTGACCCACTTGTCATTTTGAACCCAAAATTATTAACTTTTATATTTTTTATTTTTACAATATTGAATTCTATTTTATCAAATTTCACACCATGTTACGTAACATTTTATATTCGTCTACTAATCCTATAATTATATACCCCTTTCCAAAATCTATACACCTTATGTATTATTCTATATATTATTATATTGTTATTATTTTCTTTAATTCCTAGAGGGACATAGGGCTTCAGCTGCGCGTCTCCGTTGCGTTCGGTTCTCTGTCAACGTTTTCACCCCGCCCCAAGTCTGCCCACACGCTTTCATCTCCTCTTCACATGACCTCCTCCAAGTCACCCTTGCACTGACGACCAACTCGCTGCTTCCTTTTCGGGTTCCACTCGAAGGCTTGTTTTGTGATGTCACTTGATGGTTTACTCAGAGTATGGCCAGTCCATCTCCATTTCTTCCTGCCTATTTGTTGCACAGTCGGTTCCTGGTTGGTTCGCTCCCAGATGTTCCTATTGCTGATCCTTTCTGGTCATCTGATCTTGAGTATTTAGCGAAGACAACTGTTAATGAAGGTTTGAAGTTTGTTTGAGATGCTCTTTATGATGCGCCAAGTTTCTGATTCGTATAGTAGCACTGACTTCACATTAGAGTTGAAAATTCGCATCGTATTTTTGATGCTGAGTGCTGTTGACCCCCACACAGACTTGAGAGTAATGAAAGCTTGTCTTGCTCTTCCGCTTCTTGCTTTGATATCCTCGTCAGTACCGTCCGCCTATAGTTGAAACGATACTTCCCAAGTAGGTGGGTAAAGGAGGTTGTTTCTTTCAGGTTCCTCCCATTTATGCTGGCGGATTATTGTCTGTTGTTGTTGTTGCTGTTGGTGTTGGCCAGGAATTTTCATCACCTCTGTTTTATCTATGTTCACTCGAAGTCCTATCTTTGATGCTTCTTCTGCCAGCTTGTTACTTTTCACTTGCATATCTTCCAGTTTGTGGGAAATCAGACATATATCATCGGCGAAGTCCAGATCCTCCAAGTTTTTCGTTAGGGTCCATTTTATGCCTGTTTCCTCATTGCCTGCTGTCTGTCGCATTATACAATCTACTGCAATCAGGAAAATCATTGGAGATAGTAGGCAGTCTTGCCTTACTCCCTTCTTCACTTCGAAGGCTTCCGTAAGTTTCCCGTTGTGGATTACTTGGCATGCAGCATTGTCGTATAAATGTTGGATGAGATGTATAATTGTCGGCAACACCCCGTAGTAGCGAAGTAGTTGCCAAATCACCTCTCGATCGACGCTGTCGAAGACCTTTTCAAAGTCGATGAAGTTGAGATAGAGAGTTGACTGCCATTCCAAGCTTTGTTCAACGATGATCCGTAGTGTGGCGATTTGATCAATACATGACATTAATTATTTTGCCTTTTGACATTAAACTATGATTATAATCAGAAATATTTTAATCGCATTTCATACTACTATTATAATTTCATGTATTCACACCTTTGACCTAATTCTCTCACTGGATATAATTTCTTAAAAACCATATATATATATATATATGTATATATATACGATTGTACAGCTTGATAATAAATTCGTTGAAAACAGTCTCTTCGCTGAATGTTGTGTTCTTAGATCAAAGATTCACATAACTTCTGGAGTCATTTTACATCGTAGTATTATAAATTATACTTCGACTTTATTTCTGATAATGTTTCCCACATATCCTGTACCCTCATCGCTTCATTTCTGTTGTAGATGCGATAATCAAAGACCCAGTGATCAATCAATCCTTCCACTTAACTTTATTAACTTATAGAATTGTTGTTTAGTCAAGTGAAGAGATTGATCACTAAATCATTTTCTTAAGATTATATCATAAGTGGGTGGTGAGTCTTAGACTTCAGTTGATTGGGTAGGAACACTTAGTATTTAGTGTTTTCCTGGTGGATGATTTGATTACAAAGCATTCATTATCTTTCTGGACATCATCTTCAGCGCTAACCTTAATGTGAAATGAGCCTTAAGAATTCTCTATGGACAAATTCTCTATGGTATGTCTTATTCTTTATTGGTTGAAAGATTTGAATTGGATAAACATGTCTGTTTATTCCAGGGTTCCTAGGATTACTCCCACATTCACTACGTGTACTTTGTTTAGAACTTTTCCACTTTCTCAGTTGAATCGATGTCCATATTTGTCTACGTGAACTGATATGTTGTCTTTTGACTGATAGCTTGTCTTCATGGATGGGGAAGTGAAAAAGATATCCACTTTGGTCAATATAGTGTTTTTAACAGCTGATGCAATCTATATTTTACATGAAGTCAGTTTTGTCTTTTGTTATTCGGTCGTCTGATCTACAAATTATGAAGTGGAATAATGGTGTTGGTTCATTAGGATCTCAGATGCAGTTAATTAGATGACCTGCTTTTTGGCAAATCTTTTCTCTTATCATCCTTAAGTGTATCCTAAACAAACTTCTCTATTAACATAGGGCTCTTTATCAAGAAGCATATTAATGTCACAGAAAGTTTGACAACATATGATGAGTAGCCACTGATAATATATGAAAAAATTTAACTGAAGTTACAGCCTAAGTCTCTATTTTTCTGCTATGAAGAAAAACGAGATAGCGAAACACTTCAAGCTTATCATCACAATTTTCACATGATTATGTTTTTCAGCCTTGTTCTGTAATCCTTCAGACATCCTCAGCTTATCTTTCACTTTTGACTACTTATATATGTAAAATTATCTTATTTATGCGTTTCATCTGAAAGAAAACATTCGATCTGTATTTTTTGAGATTTTGTTACTCTTTTTATCTTTTTCTTTTGATTACAGCTTGATTCCACACTTTATTTTTGGTACAAGTATGGAATTTTCAGCATGGATATCGGTAGCCCGAATTTCGCAGACCGACCATAGATATCAGGTGTGCGTCGGCGAAGGCTCGAACCTCACATCACTCACATCAAACCAGGGGAATTCACTACCGTAACAAATACCACTAGTAATTCCCACTGATGCCTGCATCTAAATAATAATTCCAACACTATGGATATATATTTTTTACTGAATGTACTGTTATTATTCGGTATAAATCTAGAAAACATTTGAAGAGCCATTTTGTCAACCTCGCAATCAAAATTTCAGCACACATACTTGAAATCAACCGATGACAATTTCATTTTGTGAAAAATTGCTTACCAGGTAAAACCATAATTTCATTCAGTTTTGTACGAATACGTAGAACAACAAGTTCATTTTTTGGATCAAGATCACGTACAACATGTTCCGTTATCATTTTTAACTCTTCCATATGACGACTGTACTGAATAGACGTTGAATTATCCATATTCGAACGTGTTGGATTGCCTTCAGCTGTTACTAAGATTAAGCCTTGAACATTTTTATGATTCTGTATTCGTTCAATTTGTTGTAAAATTTCTGTGTTATCATCTGTATTGTAGCTGACGTTAGATGACATCATTAATTAATGATTTATTTTCAACTGACTAATCGATAAAAAATATCTTTGAATAAACTTTATATTAGTTTAGTCGAATTATAATGTCATTCAGTATCTATTATTATTACTAAACGTTTTCATAATTCTAATGTCCAAAAGCCCGATAACCTGAACCTATATCAACTATTTAACATATAGGCAGTCTTACATGAACTAGTACGAGTTATCATTACTATTATTATTGATTTTTTTTCAATAGTTTGGTTCGTACGGATTAGATTTATTTATACGAGATTATTATTATCGTTAACTAACTAACTTCGTACACGTTGAGGGAAATATACAAGCAAGAAATTATGTTTACACAGGAATTTCTCTTAGGCCATTGTATTTGTCAGCAAAACGTAGAATTGTTTAGGGAAGTATAAGTAAGATAAATAAGAGACCGATGAAGTAGATGATAACAGCTCCTTATATTAAGTTCAGAATGGTTGTCAATATTATGAGGATTATATATATATATATATTAACACGTATTTTCGTGTGGAGTACGTAACAATGTGATTGTACACTTTTTGTTAGATGTTGAAATTAGAGAGATTATACATGATTTTTGTTTAAAACGATTCATGTTAAAATAAATATAACTTCCGAGTACAATTCGAAATACACCATACTGTTGGAAGCTTCGCCTTCTATCTGGCCATTACTGTCTACTTGCTCCACTCATACCGTGTTGTATACTTTGGATTTATTGCAGGAACCTATTATCCTTATCCGAAGACAACCCTACAACTGGAAAACAGCTTCTACCAGTAGACACAATTCCAATAGTCAACGCTTCCGTGGATTATATAAATAACTTGTAGCAGTGGACTTTAACAGTGTATCCAAGTAACCTTTTAATTAATATAACTCATTACTGCATTTTTGATAATATATTGTTGCACTATCATCTCAGTCACTTGGATTTTTATTCGTATAATTGTTATGTTGATGAGCTCTCTCTAGACAGTCCCCTACAAATCAAATGGTGAGCCTGTTTGAATATCTTAGCTTTATAAACTCGATTTATATTGTTATCATTTTTATTTTTGACTGCACATTCTATATATTTATATACCTGTGTACATGTACATTCACATAATACTCATGTCTTCACCTACACGTTCACCTGAGACAACTGAGACTGACGAGGCACAGGACACAACTATATTATCAGCGATTTTGACACTGCCAAATAAGATGGAAAAGCTAAAAACTGAAATTTCAAGCTTACGTGCATCAGGTAGCAGATCACCTTCCAGGTCAAGGCAACGTCGATGGGCTTTCTCAGGTTAGCGGACCCCAACGTCTACTACTCAAAATATTTGCTGGTATCATAGAAAGTTTTGAAACCGAGCTATTCGGTGTTTAAAACCATGTGCTTTCAGCAGTAGCAACTCGGCAGGGAAACTCCCCAGCCAGACAGTAATGGTGACTGCTGTTACTGGCAACCATTCAAGTAGCTTTTTCTACGTGAGGGACTAAACTACAGGCACATTATTCTTGGTAGACACAGGAGCCAAAGTTAGCGTCATACCTCCTTCTTTCTCCAGGTGGTCTTCTAGCACAGCTGCGAAACTTTCACTTCGAGCAGCTAACCAAACTAGCATACGGCCTTAGGGTGAACAATCACTTATTTTGGATCTTGGTTTACGTCGTCGATTTACATGGATATTCATAGTAGCTGACGTTCGTCATGCCACACTGACTGCTGATTTTTTAAGTAATTTCAATCTGCTGGTTGGTGTTAACAATAAAAAGCTGATTAATAACTGCACCCAACTTCAAGTCCACGGAATCATCTCAAACTACTCCGTTTATAACATACGCATCGAAAAGCCAGATGATTGCATGTTTTCTGCATTGCTGCATAGTTTCCCAAAAATTTTAAAGCCATCTTATAATATCGAAGATGTCCCTTATACTATCACGCATAAAATTGTCACAACTGGTCAACCCATCAGAGCACGTCCTCGTCGACTACCACCCGATAGGTTAGCAGCAGCCAAAGCTGAATTCGAACACATGATGCAATTGGGCATCATTCGGCCATCCAACAGTCCCTGGTCCTCACCATTACACATGGTACCAAAGGCTGATCATGACTGGCGACCGTGCGGTGATTACCGACGTTTAAATAACGCCACTGTCCCAGACCGTTATCCCATCCCCCACCTGCATGATTTCTCTCTAACACTGCAGAGTAAGACTATTTTCTCCAAAGTGATTTAGTCAGAGCTTGCCACCAGATACCAGTTGCTCCTGAGGACATTGCGAAGACAGCCATTATAACACCTTTTGGCTTGTTTGAATTCTTACGAATGCCATTCGGGCTGAAAAACGCTGTACAGTCTTTTCAGCGCTTTATGGACCAAGTCACTCAGGAGCATGACTTTGTGTTATACCGATGATGTACTAATTGCTAGCAAGTCGGAAGAGGAACATAAGGATCACCTTAGCAATTTGTTTGTCGCTATAAACCCTAAGAAGTGCATTTTTGGTGCCTCTTCTATTCAATTCCTGGGACATTACATAACTGCTGATGGAATCAGGCCTACTGAGGAAAAGATAGACACAATCGAAAACTTCCCAGAAAGTCCGACAATCTTTGGAGATGTTTAATTTCTATCGACGTTTTATTCCTTCGCGTGCCTCCATCGTCCAACCTTTAACCGATCTCCTTAAAAGTGATCCTAAAAATTTTCAATGGTCAGCTCAAGCACACGAATCTTTCTGCAACGCTAAAGACACTTTATCTAAAGTTGCTATGCTGTCTCACATCAACCCCGAAGCATCTCTTTTTCTGTGCACAGATGCCTCCCAAGTAGCTGTGGGGGCAGTATTACAACAGAAGATGAAGGGTGAAGTTACCCCACTTGCTTTCTTTTCTAAGAAGTTAGAACCGGCTCAGACACGTCACAGGACTTTTGGGAGAGAATTGTTGGCTATATACCTTGCAGCCAAGCATTTCAGTTACTTACTAGAGGGCCAGCATTTCACCATTTTTACTGACCACAAGCCCCTATGTTATGCTTTCACTACTGCACTCGATAAACACTCCCCCAGAGAAGCCAGACAGTTGGACTATATCTCCCAACTTTCAACCGACATTCAGTACATCAAAGGGGACGCAAACGTGGTAGCTGATTCTCTTTCAAGAAGTGACATAAATCAGCTTCAAACTTCGGTAGATAACTGTCGTGACCGTATGGCTCAATTACAAAGAGACGACGTTGAACTCCGAACTTGTCGCCGAAACTCTTCCTTACAGTTCAAGGAGTGCCTATTCCCTTATTAGATGCAACTATAGTTTGCGGTGTATCTACCGGCACTAACATCCGAACGAGGTGCTCAATTCCAATCGACGCTGTTTTGTGAACTAACGAGACTCCTGGGAGTAAAACATATCTCCGCAATATCCTATCATCAGGCAGTGAATGGTTTGGTGGAAAGATTCCACAGACAACTGAGAAGCTCCCTGATGGCACAGGATGATACATCTAAGTGAAGTGAATACTTACCTCTGACTTTACTCGGTATCCGATATACTATCAAAGAAGATTTAGGATATACACCGGCTCAACTCGTTTATGGCACCAACTTAACCTTGCCTGGACAGCTAGTTCCCCCAGCCGATTCAACGGACGTGAACATTGCTGACTTCACCAACCGACTAACTAGACAAATGCTCCAACTTCAACCAACAACACCACGACGATCTCCCCGGAGAGATCAGATCAACAAACATCTGGAAACTTGCAAATTCGTCTTTGTTCGAGTCAACGCCATCAGAAAAGGATTGCAACCCCCATACGAAGGTCCCTTCCAGGTTATTAAACGTTCAGACAAACACTTTACAGTGAACAAAAATGGGAGACTATTTCCATTGATCGAATCAAACCCGCATACACAGACAGCGACTTTGAAGCTACATCGACAAGTTCACAACCAAATAATCAGACATGTGATTCCACTCCAACGGCACCAAGTCTTATCTACCCTCCATATCAAACACGTAGTGGTCGACAAATCAGTAAACCGGCTGGATTGATAAAACAATCACTTTTTTTAGTTCAGATATTATTGTCACCACTATTTCTATTTCTTCGTACACTTTGATGTCACTGTTACTATAAAAGATTACTATCAGTATTATTTATTTATTTATGTGTATCTCAGCTACAAAACAGGTATTGTGTTTTTCAGAAACGATCAATTTTCAATCCATATATATATTTTTTCATTCACCCTCTTTGATGACTGTATACACAGATATCTTTTTTATACATTAAAAATCTTCATCCATGGTTTGTGCAAAGAGAAACCGACCTCATTTAATTGACAAGAACTTCTATTTTAATTTTTGTTGTTGAGCTATTTGTAGATGCGTTCAAACTTAACACGATTCAAATACCTTTTCGCGTACATGCATGTTATTGTGTATCCTTATTTTTATCCTAAAAATGGTTATTACTATTATTATTTATTTCACTAACAGTGACAGTTTCCGGTAGTCCCTCCGGACCTCTAGAGGGGAACCGTGTGGAGTACATAACAATATGATTGTACACTTTTTGTTAGATGTTGAAATTAGAGAGATTATACATGATTTTTGTTTAAAACGATTCATGTTAAAATAAATATAACTTCCGAGTACAATTCGAAATACACCATACTGTTGGAAGCTTCGCCTTCTATCTGGCCATTACTGTCTACTTGCTCCACTCATACCGTGTTGTATACTTTGGATTTATTGCAGGAACCTATTATCCTTATCCGAAGACAACCCTACAACTGGAAAACAGCTTCTACCAGTAGACACAATTCCAATAGTCAACGCTTCCGTGGATTATATAAATAACTTGTAGCAGTGGACTTTAACAGTGTATCCAAGTAACCTTTTAATTAATATAACTCATTACTGCATTTTTGATAATATATTGTTGCACTATCATCTCAGTCACTTGGATTTTTATTCGTATAATTGTTATGTTGATGAGCTCTCTCTAGACATTCCTCTTCATTTGTACCACATTATCGCATTCCAGGGTTACTGGCAGTTGTTCCATTGTATCACGATTTTCAAATGGAAGAACTCATTCTAAAGGCTTCGTAAAGCAATAACATCCATGTTTAGAATCAAATGTGTTATTTGGAAATTACACATTTCTTGGTGCAATTTCTTCGCTTTTCCAGTTATCAAGAACTGGCGAAAGTTGATTGGTTTCTACTCGTTTGACTCTGAGCTCAGTTTTGCTTGGTTCACCTCTGATAAATCCGTTTTTCTGGTCTTTAGAACACTTCGATCTTGCTGGCAAGTATTAGAGTTTGCTCTGAGTAGTTTCTAGTTACTTATTTTGTAATATTCCCATTTCTTACTTACAATACAATAGAGTTCGTCCTTGCTGAAATGAAAGTGACATTACAGTGAGTCTACATGTAGAATATCAAGAGGGACGATTAAACTGATCGATCGATGTTCAGTCGTCTATGGTGACCCCGACACGTGTTACAGTCCTTCAACCTATTGATGAGGTAGCTTGAAATCGTTCATAGTGGCGTAGATATTTCCACTGCTTTTCATATTCCATATTCTAAAAGTCATACCTAATCTCCATCAAATTATTTTCTGCAGAGCACTCATGGATGTCTATGATAGTATCACTATGTCTTTATTTGTCTGTTAATATGCAATTCCAACAAAGCATATGCCATCCTACTGGCGTATCTTAATGCTGTAGTTTATTTGTTTTGTCATCTTGATTTCACAGTCTGAATAAATGCGAACCGGCAGAGTTGGTAAGATTAGATTATTTAAAAAATAGGGCCTCAATGAAACATTTCCATTGCCTTTGGTTCTCTCCCATCACTTTCATTTGGCTCCACAACTGCTGCCAAACTTTCATTTCTTCTTCACATGATCTCCTCCGTATCAATTTAGATTCGCAACTCGTCTCTCCACATTCGGATTCGACTCAACGACCTGGCGTGAGATATTACTTGAAGGTCTCCTCCGTGTTCGTGCAATCCACCAATACTTCCTTCTCCATATTTTTATTTATTTGATTTTGATTATAGGTGGATTCCACACAGTATTTTTGGTACACGTAGGGAATTTTCACCATGTGACATCAGTAGCCCGAATTTTGCAGGCCAACCATTGATATAAAGTGTTCGGTGGCAGGGGATCGAACCCCGGACCATGTGCATGGACAGCGAGGGTCGCAAACGATGTGCTACCGATTCACAAAGCATTATTTGTCGGACAACAGCCTCTTGGCTTATTGGCTACCTTGTTTTTATCATTCTAGGCACACTATCTGATCTTCAGTATTGAGAGAAGTCAGGTGCTGATTAAAGTTATGTGGCGCACCTTGAATGTTTGAACTTTTGTTTTAATGCATTCATGTAATATGTCGTCACGCCATCTTTGTCTTTCCAGCGTGATTACTTGCACGTGGCTCGCTCCCTCGTGTTATCATAGGCTCACTCTTCGGGTTTGCTACCACAGCCAGTTAACAAATAAGTTGTACAACATTCTTATTTATTAAATTCGACATTTAATCTGAGGTGAAAATATAATTCTCATAAGGGCACACTACCAAGTCACAGGCCTTCTACTTCGAGTTCATTAGTCGGTACCTACACGTTAGGTAGAGTACTGATTAGGCTATTAAGAGGGGAAGTCTTTACTAAGTGTGGTTAATTATGGTCTACCTTAAGTACAACCAGCAACTTAGAGTCATCAGTCGGTTGGAAATAATTTTTGTCATTCACTCACCATTCGCCTGCACCGTATAGAAGCATTGACTTGGTGTAAGTGTTAGAAGTCATGATACGGTATATTATGTTAAATGTTGTGGATCTGAACATTGTTTTCAGAGGAATGAAGACCTTTCTTGCTATGCTGAATCGACCATGGATGATTTTGACATCCTTATCCTTGCTGTCTGTAGTTGAGACGATGCTGCTGGGGTAAGTGAAAGAGAAGACTTCTTTTGGTAGATATAAGCGCTTGTTATTAATTTGTCATCACCTGTGTTCTTCTTATGTTCACCTAAAGTCATTCACTGGCACTCTCTCAAGTAGCTGTTTTTCTCTTGTATATCTTCGAACTTATGAGACATAAGTCACACAGAAGAAAGTGTAACACAATTTACAACAGTCACGCAAGGAAGAAAAGCGGAACCCGAGAGTGTATTTGTTGGGAAGAGAATAAACGCTATCGAGTCCTAAATTCACCTCACTTCTGGTTTTCTCTTCTTTCACTGGCTAGAACAGCAGGTATCGGTGAGCGCTGGTCAAGATCTCGCGAGAAGACAGTCAAATTTT